CTGAGCCGAAGGCAGACGCTTAACGACTGAGCCACCCAGGCGCCCCTAAAAAAGACATTTTTGAGATAATTAAGGAAATTTGATTTTGGACTAGGTATAGGTGATACCAAGAAATTATTGTTACCTTTATTGGGACGCCCAGTTGGGTCAGTTGGTAGCGTATGCAACTTTTTTTTTTTTTCCAGGAGCGAAAGCCAACTTTATTTGCAAATGTGCCATCCCAAAATGCAGGCAGTTTCTTCTTCTTCTTTTTTTTTTTTATTTATTTGACAGAGAGAGAGACAGCGAGAGAGGGAACACGAGCAGGGGCAGAGGGAGAGGGAGAGGGAGGGGCAGAGGGAGAGGGAGAAGGAGAGGGAGAAGCAGGCTTCCCATGGAGCAGGGAGCCCGATGCGGGGCTCGACCCCAGGACCCTGAGATCACGACCCGAGCCGAAGGCAGACACCTAACGACTGAGCCACCCAGGCGCCCCTCTCAAATAAAATCTTAAAAAAAAAAAAAAAGTTAAGTCTTATCTTAAGGGGTATAAAAAGAAGTGCTTAGAATGTAAAATGGTGGGACGCCTGAGTGGCTCAGATGGTTAAGCGTCTGCCTTCGGCTCAGGTCATGATCCCAGGGTCTTGGGATCGAGCCCCGCATCGGGCTCCCTGCTCCTCGAGAAGCCTGCTTCTCCCCCCACCGCCAACTCCCCCTGCTTGCGTTCCCTCTCTCGCTGTGTCTCTCTCTGTCAAATAAATAAATAAAATCTTTAAAAAAAAAAAAAAAAAGAATGTAAAATGCCGCAGCCACTTTGGAAAATGGTTTAGCAGTTCCTCAAAATGCAGAGTTTATGACCCAGAAATTCCATCCCTAGGTATATGCCTAAGAGTGTGGAAAGCATATCTTCATGCAAAAACTTACACACTAATGTTCACAGCACCATTAGTCATAATAGCCAAAAAGTGGAAACACCCCAAGTATGCATGTGGTGAGCGGATAAACAAGCTGCAGTGTCCGCATATGATGGACTCTTCAGCCAGGAAGTGCTATTACAGTCGTAGGTAGAGGAGCAGTGAGAAAAGCCAGACACAAAAGACCACAGGAAGTAGATTAGTGGTTGCCTGGGGCAAGGGGTGCAGATGGGGAGGGAATGTTAATGGGTACGTCTCTTTTGGGAGTGATGAAAATATTCTTTTTTTTAAAAAAGATTTTATTTTTATTTATTTGATACAGAGAGAGAAAGAGCACAATCAGGGGGAGCGGCAGGCAGAGGGAGAACCGAGCAGGGAACCCGATGAGGGGCTCGATCCCAGGACCCCGGGATCACGACCCGAGCTAAAGGCAGACGCTCAACGACTGAGCCACCCAGGCGCCCCTGATGAAAATATTCTAAAAAGATTACAGTGGTAGTCATGAGTCTCTGTAAAAATAGTGACACTTTGAACTGTGCCGCTGACGCGGGTGAACTTCATGGTATATAATTATATCTCAGTCAAACAATTATTTGTTTTAAGATTTTATTTATTTATTTGACACAGAGAGAGAGAGAGCACAAGCAGGGAGATCGGCAGGCAGAGGGAGAGGGAGGCTCCCCGCTGACACAGGGCTCGATTCCAGGACCCCAGGATCATGAACTGAGCAGAAGGCAGATGCTTAACTGACTGAGCCACCCAGATGCCCCTCAGTCAAACAAGTCTTAAGAAGAAGGGGAGAGGCACCTGGTCAGCTCCATCGCATAGCAGCAGCTCTTGGTCTGAGGGTCGTGAGTTCAAGCCCCATGCTGGGGATAGAGCTTACCTAGCAGATGATAGATGATAGACAGACAGATGATAGATAGATAGATAGATAATATAGATATAGATAGATATAGATAGATGATAGATGATAGATGATAGATATAGATAGATGATAGATATAGATAGAAAGATATAGATAGATGATAGATAGATAGATGATGATAGATAGATAGATAGATGATAGGAGAAGGGGAAGGAGGAGACGAAGAGGTGGTTGCTTGGCACTTGAAGTCCATGGTCCTCCCATGCTCCTCACTGACTCTGAAGGCAGGTGTCCTCCTTCCTAGGTGGGCAATCTCGGAGGTGAGGGATGCCAGCCCAAGGCAAGATGGCTGGTTACTGACTTGTACCCAGGTCTTCTGCACTGGTCGTTTTTTGTTCTGTGGGCCCTGCCGGAGGGTGAAGTCAGAGGCAAAGAGGTGGGTGCTGCAGAGGGGCATCTTCTCTAGGTGCGAGGAAGCAAGGGAGTGAGGGAGACCCTAAGGAGGAGAGGCCCTGAGCAAACACTCACTGCTTACCAGGCCACACTCTGTCCCCAGCCTCACCTCAAGTAACCCTCCCAGGCATGAGGAGAAGCTGTTTCTATCACATATCAGTCCCCGTTTTATTGAAGGACACACAGCTGGTAAGTGATTTGGACCATGTCTGTCTCCCTGACGTCTGAGTGAGAAGTCTGCCCGCTCCCGCTCCCCACCAAGGGGCAGGAGCCACAGGAAGGCTCTGGGACAGAGATGCAGGGCTGGGTGAGGAAGGCCTTGGGGGGAGGCTGCAAGCTCTCTTGCCACCAGACAGTCCCTTTTCAGGGGTAGCCCAGGCCTCGGAGGCTGGTCTAGGAGAGGAGAGCCAGAGAGGAGGCTGAGCAAGTCGGTGAAGTCTGTGGATGGGGGCCTGTGCAGGAAAGGGGACCAGCTTGAGCTGGGAAGGGCAGCTCCCACACCAGAGGAAGCCGAAGGGAGAAAGGCAGGGGAGGGGGCTCAGGGCCAGAAGGGGTGGAGCTTCTGGGGTTGAGTTCTGCCCCAACATGATTCACCCACTCCTGTTTTTTCTCCTTAACCTCTCTCACAGAGACTCCCCTGCACCCTGTCACCCCTCACCTCCATCATCTTTCCAGAAGCTCTGCTCTTTGGGGGAGGCTGCAGTTTAGGGGAGGGAGGTCTTGCAGAATCAAAATCAGCCCCTTTCTGAGTCCCAGCTCCTTTGGCAGAAGGGTAGCCCCATTTTTTGCATGTTTTAAATGGTCAGATGGGCAAGGAGAGGGGGTCTGGGTCTCCTTTTTCTCTTTAGAGTGGGGCGGTGGAGGCTGCGGCTGGTCACCTCCTGGCGCCTGATGGTCTCAATCCATCGTTCCCACAAGAATAGACACAACAGCTTTGGAAAGTTACATGGTGACCAGAGAAGGTGGGGGTGTGACCACACTGATGGGATGAGCCCCCCATGCTGGGCCCTGGCTCAGCACCTGGGATAGCACTCTGCTGGGAGGGTGAGGTCTTGCACCCTTCCCTGGACCCCTGTTTGGACACTGGGTCCCAGAGATGGCTTTGAGGGGCAGATACCTCAGCTCCCTGGAACTCCAGTCTCATTCAGCAAAGTTGGGGAGGGAAAAGGGGGTGTCTAATGGGCTGGGAGAAGGTTCTGGAGGCTGGGAAAGGGGCGGGCTTGACTTACCCAAATTTTCCCTTCTGTCATTGGCCCCCGCCTCCTCTCCTTTCCCTGCCCCAATTGTCCGGGTGTCTGGGTCCTGGCCCCAGGGGGAGGAGATAGTACAGATGGGAGTGGGATGGGGGTGCAGGCTGAAAACAAGGAGACCCAGCTCCAGGGAGGACCTACCAAGGACAGCAGCCTCCAGCTTTTACCCCAGACCTGGGGGTTGTGGGGTGGGGGGAGCAGATCCCAGGCTTCCAAAGCAAGGCCAGAGCCCCCTCAGTGTGCCCCCTGGGGTGGGGGTGGGGGATGCCCACAGCCCAGGGGCCCCCAGGCTGAAGACAGAAGACCAGGGCTATTTGGGGAGTAGCCAGAGGCTGAGGGTCTGGAAGTGCTCCTGCTGTGGCTCCAAGGCTGGGGTTAGGGGAGAAGGGAGATGAGGGCTCTGGGAGAGTGGGGGGCGCTGAGGGACAGCTGAGGTGCAGAAACCCTGGAGGGTGTCGGTGGGGGGGTGGCAAGCTGGAAGGACAGATGCGTGCAGGGAGGAGCTGTGTGGAGGGAGGGCCTCTGGGGAGTGGGGACTTTGGCTCCAGTCCTGGGGTTGCCAGCTGGAAGGAGAGCTGGGGGTCCTGCTGGTGAGTGGTTGGGAGGGGCTGTCAGACAGAAGGTCTTGGAGAGGCAGGGACCAAGAGGTTTCCCCACAGAGGTCCCTGAGGGTATCGAGGTTGGCTGAGTCCTGGGCCTGCAGGCTCTGGCCCCTTAAAGGCCACCGTCTGCCGGTCCATCCACCCCCCAGTCTGCTGGGTGGGTTGCAGCCCAGCCTTGCAGGCTGTTATGTTTGAGGGTGTGTATGATAAGGGGTCCATGCATGTGGGTTCAGAGCTCTGCTCCTGTGGTTCTGAGGTCCTGACATTGGTGTCTGTTACCCTGTTCTTGTGTATTTGTGACTTTGAATCTGGAGGGAAATCTGTATGTGACGTGTGTGCGTTGTCCGTGGAAGTATGTATTTGGGATGGAACCCAACTGTGTCTAGAACATGGAGTGGCCTATGAGGTTGGGATTCTAGTCCAAGTGTGTGTGTCTATGAACGTGTGAGTGTATGTGTGTTCCTTCTTTATTTGGGGGCCAGGGTCCTGGCAGTGGGAGGGGGAGGGGAGGAGGAGGGGCCAGGGGAGGGGAAGAGTCAGGAGTCCTGGGAAGCTGACCCTGCTGGGAGACAGGCAGATGGGATGGCAGGAGTGGGGGGAGAGGCGACCCCCTTGTGCCCCAGGGAGCACAATGCCCACGCCGGGGCCCCTGACCTCAGCATTGTGCCTGTCCCACCCGCTCTGCGTTGCCAGGGCCGGATGAAAGAGGCCATCTATCATGGCAGCCTGCCAGGCCTGGCTTTCACCGCCAGCTGGGCAGTGGCTGGCCTGGTCCCGTTTCTCCAGACGGCCAGGCCCTGCTCCCCTCCCTTGCTGCCCCAAGGCCCCCAGCGGAAGTCCGACGTCCTCTCCCTTCACCCAGGCTGGGAGGCAGTCAAAACTAAGAGGAGGCAGTGGGCCCCAGGAGGCCACCATGCCCAGGCCTCTCCCGTGGTCCCTTCAGGCCGCACTGCAGGCTCGGAGCTGGCCTTCGTGCGGGAGCAACCTGCTGCCCTGCCAGGGGAGGGTGAGTCGCCCCTGTCCATTTCCCGGCAGCGGGATGGGCTGGTCCAGTGCCGTCCTGATGCCAGAGTGCTCCCTGCTTCTGGCCGTCCTGCCCCCATGTTGGAGCCCCCCTTCCCGAGCCCACGGGTACCCCTGCATGGCCCAGAACCATCATGGGCGGCTGGGGAGCCGGTGGGCCCGGGTACAGCGGGCAAGTAAGTGATGGGACAGTGCAGGGGCATCCAAGGGGCACAGAGTTGCCCAGAGTGGGTCCAGGCAGCACCGACTTAGCTGTTAGATCCAGTATGCCCAGTGCCTAGGGCCCAGAGTACTTGCGGGGGCCCAGCAAAATGTTTTATTCTAAGTATCTTTAAAACCAGAAGAAAAAAATGAACATAATAATGAATATATAATAATGATGAATATAATATTGAAT